CATCCTCACCAGTGTTCAGACTTTTTACAAAAGGTTTTCACACCTCATGCTCCAGAGAAAGTATAGAGAATGGCAAGCAAATGACTCGTGACGTGTTCGCCTTTCAGGTGGAGGTCTTTTCCAAAGTAATGGGGAGGACGGGATCGCGGCCCACCATACACTCCATCCTACATGCGGTAGAGGCGATTCGTCTGCACGTTGAGAGCGTTTCGAATGTGGGTTGTGGATCGTGGGTTAGGGTTGGCCTCGTTGAACGCCATTCGCTGGATCCTTGCAGCTAAGAACACCGCCGACAGACACGATGGGCATTGCGGGGGGGAGGAAGAGGGGGGGGGGGGTGCGCCACTCACCCACCACTCAACCAAGCATTTTGATAGTGCTTCACCGTCCATGTTTATCTGAAAAATGCACTCACGCCGAGCTCGTCACGTGACCTCTCGCTGCCTGCATCACACGTTGAACGAAACGTACAGGAATATGTCCGGACGCCAGCACGGGTGAACACACCCACCAGGTGAACAAGTCTGGAAGGGGTGTGGACTGCGGTAGGAGCCCTTCACTGCACATGGCTAAGCGGGCGAACGTCAACAGCGCATTCTTGGCGTTATCCAACGGGCTGCCGTACAGAGTCACTAAGTACAACCGACAGACAAAAATGAACGAAATCGTCACCGTTCGACCTGGTGATGGCTGTGTCCGGCTCATGCAGTCGCTGGCGAGCTTCCTCGGCCATGACCGCGTGCCCACAGACATTCACGCCGAGGCGGTTCAGACGCCAGCACAGCTTAGCGGACAGTACCCGGGATCTGCGGTTTGGACCGCTTCTCTGTTCAACAACGGGGACGAGCAGCAGCTAGATGGCGACTGGCGTCCTCGCCTGGTGTCCAGCAAGTTCCGCCCAGACGAACAGACCTTACTGCGCGCATACCAGACGTACTACGGATGCGGCATGGCGGGTCCGTGCTCAAGCAGCCGCTGCCCGAATTGCTGGGACGGAGACACCCTTCAACAAGCTTCCATCGACTGCTCCCGGTACATCCGGGCACCCATGGTAGCAAGTTGTGGCCTTGGTCGCTTGAAGGGCGGCGATGTGAAGTCGGTGGCGCAGGCTGGGCCGCGTGACGGGTGGGCTCTCGGGAGTGGCGGAGGGGACAACGTAGAGGTGTACAAGCAACTTCCCCCGATGCCCGCGGCGGGCCGTGCGGATCCTACAGATCTAACCCTGGTGAAGGTTCTGTACTTCTTCCGGCACAAGGGCAATCGGCCTTTGATGGGTGGGAACCCACCACCGCTCACGTGGTGGGTGCTCGGTTACGAGTACACTGGGGTTGCTCACGCCAACGACCGCGTCCCCGATTCTATCACCGGGCATCCGACGCTGAACCTTCGAGCCCGCGGCCGTCCGGCGGTGTACCCTGTATCTGCCATCTATCGGCAGGTGCATCTCTACCACGCATGCTCGCTGAGCGGCGAAGGTGAAACTGGCAGCTCTCACGTTTGTGGGGTAGTGACGGGCGGGGAAGGGTCGGGTCGTGGGGCTGGTGCTTGGCGCCACAGATTCTGCCAGGCTACGCCGGGTACCACCGGGTGTGACAAGTACCTTTTGAATGAGTGTCATCACTCCATCAATCAAGACACTTTCGTCTGAGCACGTCGGGCGTGTCAGAGCCGAGAGAGGTGAGTTTGAATAAATTGGTGGGTACAGGACCTTGGATCGCTACTCTCCCGCGTTCGCCTTCGCCGGATGTATATACTTTTCTATGATTTTCCCCTCGGCTCTGACTTGACGGCCTCCCGTACCCCCCGCTTGCTTGCCTTGCGCAAAAAAAGGTGGCGGTGCGGTCCGGGCGGGCGGAACAGGGTGATGGCTACAGCGGTAGGGCGATAGGCCGGCTCACGGACATCACGCGATGGACGGGCTGCAGCCTGCAGGGGCATAAAACAGCCACCCCGATATCATGAAACATTGACTAAATTATACGTGTAGGATGTAATGCGCCTACTTCGTCCTCTGTTGGAGAGTCAATACTTCAATATGATAGGAGAATGGTGGGGATGATTGCCGACGGATACGCACATGCGCGGGCAGGGTGTGACTTGTTGCTTTTTTCGCCAAAAGCAAGGACAGATTCAGTACTGCTGTTTGATTTAGTCTACTCCGTATAATTCTGCTGTTTGATTTAGTCTACTCCGTATAATAGGCAATTAGTTATACTTCGCCGGCCGCGGTGTTGCCTCTTTATTATGTGTGCTCCGTCTCGTGTGTCCGACCTAAAAAAAACGGCGGAGGCACGCGCGCGCAATCGCGCGGCATCCAGCGAAAACTACACGTGTATGTCTATGTGTGTAATGACTTTCACGACACTACACTGCACGGCGGAAGGAAATGGTGTACACCTCTCCGACTCGGCACGGCGGGGGGGTGCCGCCCCCGCCGCGGCGCTTTCCAAAAAAAAAGCAAAAAAAGGCGTTCTCATTGTCAGCGCCCACTCCGTATACTGCTGTATGTAGTTACATTGCTGTTGTGTCCCCGACGATCGTTTGTCCGTCTACAGGCACACATGTTTAGTCTCTGTTTCGAGCGAGTGTGCGGGTGTACACCATCGTGCCCGGACCCACCTCTAGCCAGGGTGTCGCAGTATATGACCTTGTCAGGCTTTGCCGGCCGAGGGTGCCCGGCCGTGTGTTTCCAAAAGATAGAAAAATTAAAAAATGTGTTTGTTGTGCCGCACAACGGTCCATAAGTGCCGTTTCCTCGGTGGTGAGGTACCTCTCTGTCTCCTTTTCGCGCGAACATGCTGGTACACCATCGTGCCCAGACCCATATCTAGCCAGGGTGTGGCAGTGTATGACCTTGTCATGGATATGGACACTGCCACGGTGCGACAGGGTCTTGTACAGGGTCGATTAGCCCACAAGGTCGTAGCAGGGTGAGCCGAACGGCCACGGGTGTAGCTCCACAACAACGAGAGACGCCCACAGGATGACCAGGGTATCGGCTTGTAGCTACGGGCTAGGCCTTCAATTCAAGTCACGCAGCAAGCTCCACCTCTCAGCGGTAGTCCAGCTACAGCGCATCGCGCAATCTCGCTCTCAATCACACGAAAACCTTGTTGTAAGTGTACACGCTTTCACCGTAAACAGTTTGTTTTCCACGTAGTGGATTACCTACACTTCTTGTTCTCCGGAACCCCAAAAAATGTCCTCCAAAGACCCTACAAATAATCAACATATGCAACCTACATGCACATATGATATTTTGGCTTCATGGCTATGAAAACAACATATCGTGGCCATGAACACAATAAACCTACCTAGACGTTTCGACTTAGAATCAGTCACCACTACGACCGGACCTATTGGCTATTCATTCACCTCCAAGCGGCTCTTTCACCCTCTCTCCCGTCGTTATGGTTGCAACACGGTCCAGTTATTTTCCTTGCTAGCACTCGGGATCCGTCCCCTCCCTGAAGCACGATTCCCCATCGGTTTGGAACTCCCATCCGTCGGGGAACATGTTGTTGTCCACTTTGTTGTTCTTCGATTCCCCGCCGAAGTACGCGGACTCGCCGCCGTTAAACACATTCCGCTTATTTTATTGGAAGTGGTTGACAGTGGCGGTGGCGTGGCGGCGACGGTGCGGTGGTACCAAGCATCACGTGACGGGGACGAGCGGTATTTTATTGGTAAGTTTGTGGATGTGACGCCAAGGATATCAGTCGAGCAGTGCGGGTGAAAACCTTTCATCCCAAAGCTTGTTCGAGTGTACTTGCCACGTCGCGTGGCCCGGGCTTGCGGAGGCAGGCTATGCGATTTACTTTTCGCGGGAACCCATGAACAAGAACGAACGTACCCAAAATACGTTGTCCTCTGCTTCCGTGGCCTTCCACACCATGTCTTGATCGGACCAGATGTTGTTTCTGTATACGCTGTTGTCTCTGATACGGCCGTCTTCATTGCCTTCTGCCTCCTGAGGATCGGTTCCCTTGACTGCGAGGATTGTAGCGCGCGTGGGCACGGCAGCCATGCAAACCGTTACAACGTTGCCGGATATCAACATGGATGACGGACGGTGGTATTGGTTGACGGGAGGCAGCCGCCGAGGGCGTTAGTTCATGTCAGTGCAACGTGGACCTACCTGTGGTTTTCTTTTCTTGGTCGGTCCAAGGACACCAAAGGAGTCGTATTCGCAAGGATATCGCGAAAGAGGACGCGGAGATCATTTGGCGCGGATTTGCGAAGGGGGAGCGTCACCTGTCTCCCTGCAGCGAGTGCTTCGTGTCATACTCAATACTCGAATGCAGCGGTGATTAACAAGCGTCAAGCGAACCCGAACACCCATAGATCCTTGCCGCCGCAGAAAAGAGGAGAAAAACAAACCCATCCGTCTGCGCAAACTCACACATGTAAAACGCGAAGTCGCCCCCCTGGTCCGCCTCAACCACGATGTCGTTCTTCCAGACCCTGTTGTTGTTGGCACCATTACTCCAGCGGACGCCGTCTGCAGCACGCCGAAAATCACGACGAACAGGTGGAGTGATCGAGCCGTTGACATGTCGGGCCGACTTATCTTTACGATCTCACGGCGAAATCTGTAGCTCTACAATACATGGGTGCCTCATGGGAGAAACTTTGAGACGCGCTTAATACAAGGTGCGCAAGAGAGGAAGGGGGAGGTTAATTTCGCTCAAACCCGCGTCGCCTCCACCTTCTGGTGTTTTCAGAAATTATGGTTCTCTCCCTTCGTATCGTCTTACCGCGCGTCCGAGAAAAAGTCAAAATGAACGGATGGTAAACAACAAGAAATATAGTCTACATGTATGTTGGCTACAGTACTACTGCAGATTGCTGCACTCACACTTGTTGTTCTCGAGGGTGTTTTTGTAGACCTTGCTGTCGGAGGTCTCAAACAACGCGATTCCAGCTTCCCCGTTATTGTAGGCGTAGTTTTCCCTCACATTGGCACGGTCGCAGGATCGGTGCAGCATGATTCCATGCCGACCGTTGTTGTAGACCTTGCAACGGTGGTCAGGTGGAGCGTGGAGGGTGGGGGGTCGAGCGAGTTATTCAAGGTAACGCGATCGCGATAATCGAATGGCGGAGATTTCGCCGTCCGCTCCGTCGGTTTCCAAACACTGCAATTGTTCCAGCGGAGACCAGGTGTATCAAGGCCATAATTTGGCGGCGCTCCTTGACGGTGCTGCTATTGATCACGACGAAACTCACTGGCACCGCCAAGGACGTTCAAGCATTGGAGGGGGTGGGGGATATAGCATTCTTCCGGTACGTAGCCCCCCAAAAAACTGAAATCTGCCCCGCTCGACCGCGTAACAGGCCGTAGAGCAGGTGGGCCGCGCAAAAGCGCCGGGAGCGGGTGAGATGCAAAAAAAACAACAAAAAACGAGTCATGCACAAATAGGATGGAGATTAGGTTTGATCGAAGCAGTAAAAAAGTGGGGAAGACGGCCTACCGTGTTCTCCCTGATGGTGATGTCGGTACATCGCTTAGACGCGACTGGTCGTTCGCGTAGTTGAGTGCAGAGATGGCGAGATCCGTGATGCGTTGTCGAACGTCGTGACAGGCAGGAAAAGGGGGCAAGTACAGAAAGAAATGTGACGACGGTAGTCGCAAGGGTCAGGACGAGAGCACGGTAGGGGCGCTAGTAATCGCTGCTCTCCCCGGGAGTGGTTGTCATGAGAATCCATACTGCCAGCTTCATATTGCCGCGATTGAGACCTCAAGTCGAGCGCGCAATTTTACAGACACTTGGTCCTGTTTACCATTCTAAGTAGGCCATACGTGTAGACTGTGAATCGTCGGGGGAAAATTGCACAGATGATGTTCGCTTCAGTGGCGATCTCTGGCGCACCGGTGGTGCTACTTACTGATTCCATGCCACCCGTTGTTGTAGACCTCGTTCCCGACGATTTTGAGCTTGTCGGAGTCGTCGTGCGGGTCGAACCTGGGCGAAGGGCGTCGGACACCAAAGTTATTAGCTCGAGTAGGTTGATCGAAATAGCAGTGAGCCTAACAACCGAACACCCAACAATAACACATCATCGTTGTGGCTGCGGCTGCTCTGTCCTTGGTTTGGTTTGGGAACGCCCCAGCTACAAGAGCACGCACCCATAGCCGTAGTTGTCGTGGACGGTGTTGTACTGCCACTTTCCGCCGTCGTGTCCCCAGGAGTAGTGCCCGAACCAGTTGTGGTGCAGGTCGGAATCGTAAATGTCTCCAGTAACACCGACGTTGAGCCCGTTGTCGTCGTCGAAGATGTCGAGGTTGGAATTGTCCTTGCACAACCCGCGGGCCTTGTACGAGATGCCGTAGGCCTCAGAGCCGTCGTATCCAAGGTCTGGTATTCGTGTGCATAGAGGCAAACAACAGCCGAGGGGGGATGGGGGGTGGAATCGTTTTTTGCTCGCTTTAGTGTTGAGCGCATCCGGTGTACCTCTCCATTGAAGCCGGAGACCTCTCGCGCCTCACGTAGATTTACTGTGGAATGTGAGGGATCGTGATCCGCAGGTTATTTTCATTTTGTTGAACGGTGTAAGGGATACTGAGCGATGCAATGAGCATTAAAGGTGGGATGGGGTCTAGGCTGTTTTCCTGGATGCGTGGTATTTCGTTTGCACGGGTCTCCCAAGAATGGAACAGCACCGTATAGAACATTGGCCCAACCCTATCAAGCACCAACTGGTTTTCGTTCGAGAAAATGTTCGGCAGAGTCAGAATCCTGCAAAAGGGGTGGCTTATCTGTCAAGCAGCGGAGCCTTGTTTTCTCCCCTGATATGTGGCGAAGAATGCCCAAGCACAGCCGAGGGAACGCGAAGAGAGGGCATTGTCCTCGACGGACGTTGGAGAGATGGGGGTGTTATTAAACGTATATCTCTGAGGTCTCTTCTCACATCCAATTTCTGATCGGTGGATGTCCATGTTGGCGTTTCCCATGTCCTCCTTGGCTTGGCCGTTCGAGCTGCTCGAGTCGTCGGGACAGGTGTCCTTCGTTCGCCCGGTAATCTTCTCCGTGACAGCGCTCAAGTAGCTGTAGCATCGTTTAAAGCAAATTCGTTGCGTCCAGGAAGAGGAGGGCTCCGGCGTGAAGCGTCGAGAGGTATTCAAAGATGTTCTGTCTGATTTCGGTAATGCACTGGAACAACAAGTCACCCGCCTACTGGAGTTGTAAATGCCTCACCTCGGTTGCCACGTAAGGGTTCAGGTAGACCGCAGTAAAGCGCAGACATGATTGCATGTTTGTACATTTGCGTCTGTCTACTCAGCGATATCGGTGACAAGTACCACCTTTGCCAAGCGAAGAACAGTCCAGTGTCGCTGAACACAACTATGTTTTACCTTCGACCATCGCTTGGATCCGTGTCGTAGTCTTCATTTTTGAGGTCCCACGAAAATATTTTAGTGTACCGAATGTCCAGGTTCCCGCCGTGAGCCGTGATCCTGTTGAAGGTGCTGCTGTTGCTTGCCTACAACGAACGACGAAGGTCGGTATATTGTTGTGGTTCTGCTGGTCGATCGATTCGAGGTTGACGAGACACATCGCATTTCTTCAAGCGGACAAGGTCAAGACCCACGAACAGATGAGCCTGCATCCTTGTCCGTTTGTAGTGCGTTTGGTCACGTACATGGGTTCACGTTCAATCCCTAGCTCGCGAAAAAAAATACGTCCGGCTCTATTTATCTATGTATCTCTTATCATATGAGTGAAATCTGCCACAGTATACAAGCCACTCAAAAGATAAGCATTAAAAACACCATTTGATCGATTTCGTTTATGCGACCAACCCGCACACCGCTTCCAACACGACCACCCTTGGGCGTACCGTATTCGACACAAGTTAACACTCACCCTGGTCCGATTTTCAAAGCTCGATTACTCCACGACCAAGAGGATGCACAAACGACACGATACGTTTTCGGAGAGATCTCGGTCAGACGGCTTTAACGCCGCCGTTTTCGACTCTGTGACTCTTTCTACTGTTGAGATATCAAGCTTTGAAAATCGGTCCAGGGGGTGTGTAATCTTGTGTCGTAGACTATACGGTATACGGTAGTCTCGCTCTTCTTGCGGCGTCCTTACCAAGAGGAGTGTCTCGCACTCATTTTCTTCGCTTTCCGAGCCGTCGATGCTGAGGGTAGCTCCGTTCGTGATGAACACGTCCGACTCCAGGTAATAGGTGCCCGTGTAGGTGTCGGTGTACCACTTTTTGTCCTGTTGTACGCACGGCGAGATGTAAGAGACATTTTGCTTTCGTTTCCTGGGGAACGACACCGCCAGTCGTGGACAATATATTACAGTTATTGTCGACACACCTGAAGATTCGTTGTCAGAAAAAACATGATCAGCAGCTCGCCTGCAGAGAACGTATAGCGCATACAGAGTGTCGCTCGTTGCTTCACACGTTGCATTTTTACCTTTAGGAAATGCTACACCAAGCGTCACCGAGGTACTACTTTGCACGATCAAATGGTTGGGAGCTGCGTAGAAACCGCCAGATCACGCCATGTAGTACCCCTTCCATACCTCGTCAAAGTGAAAGATTGGTCCAATCTGTTTCCCGTCGTTCGTCCGGTACTCGATAAGATCGCGTATCGTTGCACAGCCGCCTTGCACGTGTAAGGCACCATCGTCGTAGCTAATTGTCGGCGACGTCCTGTGAAGAAGGGACGGAGACGGGGGGGTGGAGGGGCATGTGGACGTGGACAACGTCGTCGTTTGGTCGTCGTGGATGATGCTGCTGTCGTTGACATTCACAAACGTTTCGCTGATGGTGGTGGTTGGTTGTTGTTGCTTCTGTTGGTGCTGTTGTTGGTGATGGTGGTGGTGGTGGCGGTGGCGTTCGTCATGTTTGAATGTTGTCACACCATCATACTTACTTGTGTGTGCACCGTGCAGTGTGTAGACTACATCGTGCGCAGAAATTCATGTTGGTGTCCGACGTATAAATAGTGGAGAGACCCCGATTTATCGCTCACATTATATATATATTATATCACGATTCGTCTAATGAGTCCTACATCTTGATTAATGAATGCATTCGCTGCATACGGGGTTAGAATTTTTTTTTTTTCGTATATTTTTTGACCTCTCTCGCCCAATACTCCATTTCACGACTTGAAACCACGCAAGTGCGTTCATCACGTGCAGTTTATGAGACCTACGAATGGAATGACGCCTTGCTCATTATGACACCGACATTGACACCTTCGCAAAAGTAGACCTCAGCCGCTGTGTGCTTCCCAACATCCACGTACACGTTCTGCATGCATCGACGCGCATGGACGTGACATTACACAACACAAACATCGCCACCCTTTATGCATTCATCAAACGTCGTCACAACATGACAAGTAGTTACGATTGGCCATGCTCACTGCAGATTTACAGCATTCAGATGCCCCATGCTCGCTGCCGCATACGGGCAAATATACCGATTTTCTGCAGACAACCTCGCTCGCCAATCAAATTTTCGCCGCATATTAT